AATTTTTATAATTCATTTAAATAATAGTAATATTTAATAAATCGATGACGTTAAAAGTAAAGTGGTCTGAAGTGAAGACCCACCAAGTAGTAATCATGCGTACGTGTAATATGCTTAATTATAATTTAATTTTCCAAAGCATCTGTAGCGAAACTGAATGTTTACTGTGCCAAATGATTTTGAATGCAAGGAGCCTTATACAGATATGGAACGAGAAATGCTGTACATGACGAATAATCTGATGCGTATAACGGTACTCGAGGTGCTGAACTGAGAGAGCTGGCTACTGTCGTTTTTAAGAGGTCGATGAGGAATGACTTCGTGCGTGTTAATTACTGTGATTCTTTTTACATTTTTCAGGTCAAGAAACTTGGAATCGTTGCTGTTAGTAAGTCACGACTTTTTGTTTGTGACAATTATGTTAATGCTATCGAATATGGAAAGGTGCTATGGAATGCATTTTTTCAGTATTTTAAATTGTTCTTTGATGTCTATGTACACTATATGGACAAAAGTATTGCGACACACCTTTTAATAATTGAATTAAGGTGTTTCATTCAGATCCCACAGGTGTAGAAAATCAAGCACTCAGCCTTACAAACTAGTATTTGTAAAGAATGGGCCATTCTGAAGAGTCCAGTGAATTCAAGTGTGGTACTGTCATAGGATGTCACCTTTGCAATAAGTCAGTTTCTTCCCTGCTAGATATTCCATGGTCAGTGTGTGAGTTTAATGTGGAAAAACTTGACTGGCCCACACAGATCCCTAACTTCAACCCCACTGAACACCTTAGGGATGAACTAGAATGGTGATTGCGAGCCAGGTCTTCACATCCAATATCAGTGCCTCACCTCACAAATGCTCTACTGAATGAATGGGCAAAATTTCCCACAGACATGCTCCAAAATCTTGTGCAAAGCCTTCCCAGAACAGTGGCAACTCTTATAACTGCAAATGGGGAACCAACTCCATATTGATGCATATATATTTAGAATGGGCTGTCTTAAAAGTTCCTGTAGGTGTAATGGCCAGGTGTTCCAGTACTTTTGTCCATATCCTCCTGAGAGCCAGCAATTCATCTTTTTCCCCTGTAGAGGATATTATGTTTTTGCTGTATCATACTGCACATGCCACTCTGTAAATTCCTGTTGTTTCTTAAAGTGGACAGTTAGTGCTGTACGATGACATTACATGTTTGCAGATGTGACCTTGCCAAACTCCTCTTCCTGTCAGCTTTATCTAAAGCAACATACATTTTTTTTGAGAAAGCAGGGTCAGACAAGAGGCTTCAGTGTATGCAGAGTTGGTTTGGTTGAAAAATGCCCAGAAGTGATTTTACATGCCCATTTACAGCCCTATTATTTGGTTCTAGAATGAAACAAGCCATTTTCCTTTTTTGGCAGGCTCATTAATATGTTAATGAGTTCTGCTTTGATTGGCTAGTTTATGGTGAGGTACTGCGATGGCACACAGAACCAACATTTTTATAGTCATGCACCGCAAAACAATGTTTTGATTAATGATGGACCATATTTATGACAATAGTCTCACAAGATTATAATAGCTGAAAAGTTCTTATCACTAACTGATGTTATGTTCACCCTGGGCCAATAGGAAAAATCCCGAATTTCTCTGACATAGCTCATATAGTTTTGGAGTTGAACTGCACTGAGATTTTCCATTCATTTGCAAAAATGCTTACTCTGACATTTTCAGATGCTAGTATCTTTGCAAAGGTAACACCTCGGCACCTGAAAAAATTGTGGATATACAAGCCTTCCGAATATGTATTCATTTAGCTTGTAGCATGTACCTAACTTAAGATAAATCTGTTAAGAGGCCCAACAAGGGGTAGTAAAAATATCATCACTATCATTGTGTCATTTGAAAGATCTAGGTTCCCTTTACAACATATAAAAAAAGAAAGGGTTTAATTTAAGGGTTTTATTGAGTTTAAGGGTTTTATTTTTGTTTTAAGGGTTTTTATTGACAATTTGAGGCAATTTGAAACCAATTTATTTTAAGTTGTGTACATGCTACAAGCTTATTAAATGCATATTCGAAATTTGACTAAAGGCTTGTATATCCACAGTTTCTTTCCAGGTGCCTAGGTCTTTCCGTTCAAAGATATTGGAATCGGGCATCTGAAAATATCCGACTAAACATTTTTTTGAACGAAGGAAAAATAGCATAAAATTTCAAGCCGGTTTAACTCCTAAACTATATGAGCTAGGCCAGAGAAATGTTGGATTCTTCTTGTTGGCTGAGGGGCAAACAAAATGCCACAAAATGGTTCAATTCTGAAAATACATACAGTGGTACCTTGGTTTACGAGCATAATTCATTCCGGAAACATGCTTGTAATCCAAAGCACTCGTATATCAAAGC